CCATTCGATCAGATACTCCCCTCCCTCTACCATTTGAACCTTTCCGTAAACGAGAACATTACGATGGTCACGAGCAATTTTTATAAATGTATTTTTTCGCCTCCCCTTTCTCCCCCGCGTGTTGAAAACACATCCCGATTCGATGATCATCGTAGAAGCGCCGGAAGTGAGTAATTTACGGACTTTTCCACTTGAACCACTGCCACGCGGCAGACGGCGATCCAACCAGCATGTCCAATAAACTTACAATATTACTATCTTAAGTACAATATATTAAGTGTTTTCAGAAAATATATGATCTATATATGATAATAAAAAACGGGAAAACGTTTCACCGGACTTGTCATTCACTTCTAAGTCACGTTCACCCTCGATGTCTTCATGAATATGTCGCTTCGTCCATTATTAATTGACTCGTCTTCAGTCTTTTTCGTAAACCAAACGCTAAAAGCACGCTGATTAACTGAAATGTGAATAGTTTTTCTTTTTTTTATTTATTAAATAAGAAGGCAAGCAAATATATACCACAAAGGCAAGAAAGTAACAAGTTTTGATTTACCAAAAGTGGAAATATGACAAGCGTTGAAATAGAGGCAGTCTGAACATACGATTTTAATAGTATATAGGCTCCTTTTAAGCATCCAGATTTATAAGACACATTCTCTGTCATGTGCAGGCACTGAAAATTGCGCAAACAAATCAGGTATTTCATATTCGAATTTTACGTTAATTGCTATTTATTTCTGAATTGACGGCTATGGTGATTGTATCTGTTTCAAATCAATTTGCTACTGATATTGGATATATAATATTAATATATTCAGTAATCATAATTATACGATCATCGAGTAAATACGATAGTTTATTGATTTGTCTAACTATTTTAGCGCAAGTATATCGATTGTTTGGGAATTATATAGACTGATGAAGTAGTTTATTCCAGGATGCAGTTCACCGGCTGAAAATTATGACAAACCGTCGTGACTTCTGAGAAACAGGAAGAAGAGAAAATCCCCGAGAAGAGTAAAGGGATCCGGATATTATTAGACGCGACCGGATGTACGCTGCGCGTGAACGCAACTAACTCGTTTCTCGGCATGAAAAAGAAAGTACGTGCTACTTGGCAGAAAATGGATCAAAACGTGACCGGCGCAATCTTCTATGACTAAGACCGGACGTAGCTTTTAACTTTAGAAAGCTATTTTAATATATTCCTTATAATTTTATTTAAAGTATAATTCCTAAAACAATTAAATGAGAAGAATAATCGACCATGTGATTTTAGATTTACTATATCTATTGTATTTCAGGACTAAGATCTTTATTTAATTTAATCAGGGTTCGAAAAGTTACTTTAAGTTACGTATAAGTTACTTTTTAGATTATCTTATGTGTTTGTTATAAAAATTGAATACAAAAAAAATAATATATAAAATTAGAGCAAATGATAAAATATAATATAAAAAATAAAATATCTGAACTTATTGTATTCAACTTTATAATAAAAAGTAACTTATAAGTAACTTGTAAAGTATAATAATTTCCCAAATCGTGAATTTAATATTATAATCAATAATGTATATAATATTCTGATTTTTCTTTCATATAATTAATTACAGATATTATTTAAAGACTTATTATTTATTTTCAAGTTTTTTAGATTTTTAATTTTTATTTTTTAGATATTTATCTTTTCTAAGATTTATTTATTTTTTAAAGATTTTTTTTACTTCTTCAAATTTACCAGTTTAAGTGATATAGAACAGCAACTTTGCGGAATGTTTATTTGATGATCTAACCAGTCTTTAGATGATTTAATTCCACAGCATTTTAACTGAAACGTATCATAGGTAGTAAAATATGCAAAGAATATACAATTGAAAAATATAATGCTATATAAAGTTCTTACATATCTATGAGTATTATCCCATGCTTTCACAGCCCAATCTAAAGATTGATAATTTTCCATAGAGTTGTTCATGTCATCTCGAATCTTTTTCGTAATCATATCGAAAAACGGAAAACTCATTGTCAGACATATAAATACAGCACAGAGAGCGATTGATTGGCACATTAAGTACTAAAAGATAAAATACACGGTGTTATAGAAAACAGACTATTCTCAAATTGTCCATTTTATGCTTAATTTGCCAAGCAGGCTGATATAATACATATTTTAAATTAGAAATTGCGTTTTCAAAAGATTTCTTTTTTGTTTTATTAATTCAACTTACAAAAATCATGAAATAATCTTTTTTCTTTGTGATTCCTATAATTCCAGTAAAAGCTACAAGAGACACAAACACTCCTAGAATTAATAAAATAGTCATAAAAAGCTGTTGGCTGAGCAGTCTAGATCTTGATGTAAAGTTTGCATCAGTCAACATCCAGATAGCTATTGTTATTGCCGTTACACCTGTGAGCTTAAATAAATTTTGAAATTAAATCATTCTTATATCCAAACCTATAAATTGCATGTGCTAAACTTCTCTATCCATTTACTATTATACTCACGAGGACTACACTGTTAAGCAATAAGAAGAAGAATTTGAGACATTTCTTCGGCAGCCATTTGCAAAATAGTTTAGTCGTGGAAGTACCAATATTTTTGGAACTTTTTTCTGTCGAAATGGTTTCATCACTTTCAGTAACTAATTCGTCATCGTCTGTATCTGTTTCAATCTCGTTCTCATTTTCATCACGCCCCATTACTCTCGGGAATTAAAATTTCCGTCAGTTCATTAATTACGTATCCTAGTAAAACGCGTCACCTACAGAATTGACTTATTATATTCTTTAAATTTGACATTTCGAGCCTAAATTGTCATTTTATGACAACGTTAATGACAATCGGTAAGTTGAGCATTTACTATAAACTTTTATTTAAATAGGTTTGATGAAAATAATAAAAATCTAGAAAAACAAAAAAAGGTAATTATATAGTTTAAGAGTCTCACCTCAAAAATCAATAAAATTAGGCTCATTTATTAAAAAAGACACGTTTTTGCATGAAATGAAAGAATCTGGCAGAAAAAAGTGCCGCTCTGCTCCGCGGACCGAAATATTAAGCGTTAAAGTTGACGATTATTGAGGTTAGGAAATCTGTCACAATCTGTCGAATTTGGCTTTTTACAATGTCAATAAAGCTCGTCTTTCAGCAGGTAAAAATGGTGAGTTAAAATTGACAAACTAATCTGTATACATGCAACATGATTTAATTAACAATTACGGATATTGTGATTATTACATTTCACTATTACCGAATGGCGCGCGCGTTATTTGCTGTTTCCGGCTGGGGTCTGGCAATGGCATTCTTCCGGTGTCATAGCCCTTAAGGGCTATCGCACATGAAATGCATAACAGAGCATAAGCATAACATAAGACTGCTCGGCCAATGAACATCTTATGTAAATCAATATGGCGACTTAATGCTGGATGCTCATTGATCCAGCAGTCTTATGTTATCTTTATGCTCTGTTATGCATTTCATGTGCGATAGGGCTCTCACACATGAAATGCACAACAGAGCATAAGCATAACATAAGGCCGCTAAACCAATGAGCATCTTATGTAAATCAATATGGCGATATTATGCTAGATGCTCATTGGTCCAGCAGTCTTATGTTATGCTTATGCTCTGTTATGCATTTCATGTGCGATAGGGCTCTCACACATGAAATGCACAACAGAGCATAAGCATAACATAAGGCCGCTAAACCAATGAGCATCTTATGTAAATCAATATGGCGATATTATGCTAGATGCTCATTGGTCCAGCAGTCTTATGTTATGCTTATGGTCTGTTATGCATTTCATGTGCGATAGCCTTAAGGGTATATCCACACAAACTTGCATAGCCGCATAAACATATGCATAAAGAAAATTATCCAATTGCAGTTCTCTTTTAAAGTCGTACGTAAAATGTGATTCGATAATTTTCTTTACGCATACGTTTATGCGACTATGCAAGTTTGTGTGGATATACCTTAACTCTTAACCGAGGTTTAACTTATTTATTGTCTCTTTCTAATTCTAGAATTGGAAAGAGATGAGAAACAAATTGAACCTCAGTTAAGAGCTCAAACACAAGCTTTTGCATAACGCATAACGCATAGTGCATAAGAATCAACTAATCAGAAGCTTTCCTTTCCTCTCATTCCATGGAAAAGAAGAATTTCGATTGGTTGATTCCATTATGCACTATGTATTATGTGTTATGCAGAAGCTTGTGTCTGGGCCCTTAGAGTTAACCATGAGTTATGGAACTGGGCCTTAGTGTGAACCCTATTCAGTAGAAAATTTATTATTAGGAAGTCGATTCTGTATCTTCCAACAAAATGAAAATTACAAAAGCAAATTTACTAGGTGTTGACCAATGAAATTATCGGTATTCTAGAAAATTCGCTTACTTTTGTCATTTTCACCTCGTTTCAAGATATTGAATCGATTCCCAGATCATACATGTAGTCGTTGCAAAAAAGATTTGTGAAATTGAATGTTGTCAAATTTTATTGTGGTTAGTCTTCAAATCTTGTTTTATTATATAAAAATAAATATTGGATAATAAAATCTGCATGCAGTGATCGAGTAAAATCGTATTCATAGGAAAACACATGATATAGTGATTTATTTAACTGTAAAAATTAGATTTGGTGATCGTGAAACCGCAATCGAAGGCATGGAAGTCGTAATATGAAATACTCAGGGTTCCTGGCTAACATGAGAGCATCTAAACAATTTAATATCTCAAAGCATACTGTCAAACGAAATGTTAAAAATGACAATTCTATTGTTAAGATTACTCACACACGTACACACATAATAACATATACACACATCGAAAAATTGTATAATTATTATGTATAACATTTAAATTCTTTGTTCCTACTTGTATGTAATATAATAAAAGGGTGTATAAAAGCTTATCTTTATTTTTTCCTTAGTTTCCTGTTATGAGATATCACCTCATACAAAAAAACCCTTGTATCTTATGTGTATTTTGTATTAGGAATCCTTTTTTAAATGATCAAAATCGGCACTTTTGATAAAAAATTTCATATACAACAAAGTATAGCTATTATCGACTGCTAACTTTTGGCAATAAAACTTAAATATATTTTCCATAAATTTGACATGAGGACAGAAATTTAAGTTACAAATTAAATAAATTACAAGCCTTTAAAAAAAGGTATCTCATAATAGGCGACTTTACTCTACATCTTTGTTGGCAAGATTATTACATAATTGTATTTTTATCTCATCAATTCGAATTATTATTCATAAGAAGTTAATATCTTTCTAATAATATAATATATAGGTTCTGCAATTTAATACGCGTACATGCAATATATAATTAGCTCAATATTAAAACTGTTGTTAAAAAATCGCTATAACTTATTATACTAATATATCTTTTAAATGATGATGAAACTAACAAAATAAAAAGTATTTCATTATTAATATAATATAAATAATTTTATATAAATAGTTTATTTATACACAAAAAAATACTTAAATTCTTATTTTGAAAATATCGTTATTTTCGACATATAAGACTTGAAATAAGATTATTTAATGTTGATATAATATTTGCTTACCTAAAGAAATTTAATCTAGTAAATTTAAAAAGTTGATGTTATAATTACTGAATTAAAATTAAAGTCTATCTGAAACATTTCGAAACTAAAATTTGTTAGATAATTTTAATTTGATTTTGCGACATAACGTTATTTCTTCTGTTTAATAATTCAAGTATTGTTATTTTATATATAACTTCGTGCAACAACATATCTTGCAAAAATAAACTTTGCAAATGTTAAGTGTTTTTTAACTTTTAATTATTTCATTTCCTTATCTTTGATTTTATTTAAGCTATTCACAGAATTAAGAAAAAAAAATTAAATATAAAAATTATTTTAATATATATGTATATATTATTATTTAGATTAATATATCATTTACATTAATGCAAAAACTAATTTTTGTTTATTATTATTATCATTAATGTTTAATATTTTTATCATATTTATTTTTAAATGTTATTTATATTTAAAATAAATGGAATAATTAAAATTTAAATATGAAAGGGAGTTAAATGACTAATCAAAAGTAGTCCTCTATAAACCAATGGCTGCGTTCAGCAGAGAAAGCAGCCTTGCAACTGTTGTAAAATTCTTTAATATGATTGGTCTTGCCCTTAGTTCCTCATTGGATCTAAATGTATAAACCAATCATATTGAAGAATTTTACAACAATTACAAAGCTGCTTTTTTCTGCTGAACGCAGCCAATCTCTGATTAGAATGTTTCTGTTATCCAACTGCTTCTTTCTGTTGATAATCTCTAAAAAAAATTCCTAATAAAATAAATTCTAGGGAATATTGTTTTACAATCTTTATTAACCTATGGCGTCGTCTACAATA